CTACATCCAGGTCCAAGCAGCGCTGGGAAGTCCCTTGAACAGCAATCTGGAGTCCCAGTTGAGAAGGTCCTGGGCCGTGCGTCCACCCCTCGGGTGAGACTTCAGTTTGCCACTCGAAGGAGCCCAGCTTTTAGCACCAGGCCGCAGGCTGCTAACAATCAGCCTAGTTGCAAGTTTGCAGCTCTGGTTGTTGTCATAAATGCCTTGGTCTTAACTCATAAGTTTTGGAATGTTCTTGATCCCCAGGGGCTGGCCAGACCCTCAAGGTGAAAGAAGTCCCATGACTTACGCTCTATCTTATCTAGGGGTTTATTATTGATTCTGGCCTGGGTGTAGCTCAGCAGTTAGGCATGCAGTCAGCTTTAGCATCATTATCCAGTCAGAGAGGCCTGGTGCCACCTCTGAAGCCTGAACAAGACTACTTTACTAGCTTCCCCAACAATGGACTATATTAATAAGTGAAAAAATTAGATAAATCAGTGTTAGACAAGGAAAGAATATTGGCTTTGAAATGCAATTGAACTTATTGAAGCCTCTGAGTGAGGTTCTCTGAGGTGATAGCAAATTGGCTGGCTCCTTGTCTACTGGCCACGTAGTCGAATGGTCGCAGGGCTGACACCTGACCCAAAATGGGCTAAAAGGTTGCTCATGCTTTGGAGCATTAAACTTGAACTGTGAGACATAGAAGTTGTTGGGCTTAAACCTGGTAACTGTGGTGCTCTAAAAAAAAGGATCATGGAATTTCTACAACCATAATCCCAGAAGCTGTCCTTATTCCTGCAGTTCCTCAATTTTTCATTTCAGCTCTATCTTAGATTGCATGAACTAGTTCAGTATTTTTCCAACAGATGTCTTTGTGCTTAAGTTAGCTAGAATTGGCTTTTGGGTTGCTTGCAAGCAAAAAAAAAAAAATTATATGACGCTTTGAGGTCAATTTCATCTCATTTTAATTCTCATCTAATCAAATATGCCAGATATTTTGATAGGAGAGATAGAGTGATGAATGAGATGTACATGATTCTGCTTATGGAGCTTTTAGTCTATCAGAGAAAATAGACACTGACAAAATAATTAAAGTATGGAAATAGAAGGGTTTCATTCACTCATCAAACAAATATTTATTGAGCCTCTATTAGATATAAAGCATTGTTCTAGACCCTTGGAACATCAGTACAGAGATCCCTGCCCTGGTATCTTCCAGCAGTGAGAGGCCCGCGTACCACAAAAAAAAATAATTAATAAACCTAAAAATACATAAATAAATAATATGGATTTAGGAGGTGATAAGTGCTGTGGGAAAAGAAATCAAAAAGTAGATTGGAAAGAATCATGCATACATCAAAAGGCTTAGAGTCCAGAGAGAAAAAGCAGGTTAGAGAAACTGAGTTATTATTAGCGCTGAGATATTGGCGAAAAGGCCAATGGCTCAAAAAGAAGATGAAGTTAGCCAGAGTTAGCCAGAGTATATTGTTAAGGACTTTATAAACCATTTTGAGGATTTTGAACTTTATCCTAAGGTAATCCAAAGCCACTTAAGAGTTTTAAGCTGCTGAACATGATCACATTTGCAATTTAAATTTATCATTGTTCCTCCAACCCGGAAAACCCATTGAAAGCAAACAGTAGTGGATGGGAGAGAATAATTAGGATGTGGCTGTCCTAGTCCAAATGAGAAATGGTGATACCCTTGACTAACATGTGTTTCTTGAATTGGAAAATGGTAGCTGTATTTAAATGGCTGATAACGAGACTTAGATTCTCAGCTTATCATATTTAGAGTAAATTAATGCCTGTTCAGGTTTATCTTCTGTTCTTTGAGCTTTGATGCTGTTTGCCAACTTGAAATGTTGACCACTTTTTCACTGGCTTCATACCTACCAAGTTTAATTATGCCTCGTCTTTGGGAACAAAAATATATTATTAAATGACTATTTAAGGAGCTATGGCAGCCACAGGACAAGCATTGATTCTGCTCACTTGCATCTATACCTAGCTAGCCACCTATTGTCGTCCTCAAATTCTGAGAGAACCAATACAGGGTACAAGCAAACCAAGTATATACAACTCCTTTATTAACAGGGTCTTTTCCCTAAATTCTTTTTTTTTTTTAGTATTTGTTTAAGGATCTCTTTGTTTTTCTTTTTTTTTCTTTCTTTTATTTTTATTTTTTTTTTCCTAAATTCTTGTATTCTTTTCTTTCCTAGTGAGCTAGTATAGATGCTGTAGGCGAAAACCACATGCTCCCATTACCATTCCACTATTAGGTCTTGATCAAGGTTTATATACTTGTAAGCAATAGGTCATTTGGCCCTCATAATTCGTTATGACATCTTGTTATGCTCACAATGTTTTTTAAAGGCTGTGAAACTAGACAGGTGTTACGCTTGGTTGCTGCACAAGCAATTTAGCACTTAACCAGTTTCATGGGTATAAGTTAAAGTTATGCCCACTTGTAATTATTTGAATGTTTAATTTCCAGCATAGATACTAATCCCACCTTAAACAGTCAGTTCCTTTGTCCCTTTGACCTGGGAATAGCTCAGGCTCTTTCAGTCTCAAAGATATAGACAGAAATTACAGCCAACCTTCAACTCCATTGCTTCAAGTCTTGCCAGTACAAATGTAATAACAAAGGGAAAAGAGACTTTTGAATTCCCTCATCATTCCTCCAAAAATTTCCCCTCTCGTGCGTGAGGAGGTGAGAAAGGAAGAGAAGAGTACCACGTACCACATTTTGCCATGTTTGAATATAGTTTCCTTTGGGCCTGTTGGGTATCCTTGAGAAATCTGCCTTTCTTAAGGAAGCTGGGGGAGATCAGATGGGAAAGTAGAGCTTAAGGACATGGTTTTTAACTGTTCCCATTGCAATATCTTATTATAAAAATGTACTTTTTAAACATGGATTTCCTTTTTGTATTATTTTGTCTTGGTGTCTCTCCCTCATGAATTACTTTGCATCTTGTTTGAAGTGAACAATTTTAAAATTTATATCCTGTCCTACTTTTCTTTCAGGAACTTTACTTAAAATATCTGTTTTTCTCTCCACCCTCTCAGATATGCATGAACATCTTATGCATTTCACACTCTTTAAGATGGAGAAAATAATAAGCTAATCTGAATAGTGGTAAAATCAGTCAGAGTAGAGATTTTATTCTCAAAACAATAGACAGTGTAGTATCTTCTTATTGCTATCAGTTATCTCTATTGTTAATATAAGTCGTGAAAAAGGCATAAATTAGTAAAACAAGGCAGTAGAACATGAATTTGCAGGATATTCTCAATTCCATGCAGCCCAGCATAGTGGATGCTTGCTCCTTGGGAGCAGGTAACACATTCTACTCCTTTTTGTATCCCCTACTCCACACAAGGAGGCAAGCATATGCCTACCAGTTACTAAACACGTGAATAGATGAGTAGAGTAAGTTGAAATTAATGATACTTAAGAGACATCTAATACTGTACTTATAGAATTCACACCAGTGACGGACCAAGAATATTTTGACTAGGAATTGAGTGCTGGGTTATATAACTCTCTAGGGCTGGTGTGTGGACACATCCAAGGAAGGAAAAGTACAAGGAAGGAAAAGTCCAAGGAAGGAGCTACTGGAGAACAGACTAGAAATTAGACAAATGGCCCTCCAATTTGAGGATGTATCAGAATCACCTGGAGGGCTTCATAAAGCAGAGTCCTAGGCCCTACCCTCTGGAAGTTTCTGATTCCGTAGATCTGGAACGAGCCTTGAGAATTTGCATTTAGGGGCTTCCCTGGTGGCACAGTCGTTGAGAGTCCGCCTGTCGATGCAGGGGACACGGGTTTGTGCCCCGGTCTGGGAAGATCCCACATGCCGTGGAGCGGCTGGGCCCGTGAGCCATGGCCGCTGAGCCTGCAAAAAAAAAAAAAAAAAAGAGAGAGAGAATTTGCCTTTCCCTCCCAGGTGATGCTTATGCTGCTAATCCCAGTAGCCGACCTTGAAAACTACTGAATTAAAATTTGGAAAACTCGCCCAGCTAAGGGGATCTGGTCAGGCTGCCTGCTCTGTGATCTGCACAGAGAAGGGGTTATTACAGAGATTTCTGAGGGCAGTGCCTAGATAATGTAACTAAGAACTCAAAAGAGAGTTAAAATCAGCTGACATAATGAGATGGAAGATAGAATGCATGGAATCAATTTAGCAATACTTTCAGCTAAGTTAAATTAATTTAACAATGTAAGACCATCACATATATCTAAGCTAATTTATATATAAGTTATTCCTGAAAATATTCTTACACTGCAAGGAAAGTTTATGCCCTTCAGCTGACTATGTATATGTCAAGGTAAATGGGGAAGGTAGAGAAAGGGCAGCTCAAGGAAAGGGGAAAACCCATTCATCCTAGAGAAAGGATTTAGGAGAAACCGTACCCACTCCCCACACCTCACTCTTCCCACCCAACTAGTGCTACGTCCCAACTAACTAGCCTTAGGAGGTTTCCGAAACAGTAGCAACAGCTTCAGCAACCAGGTGTCATAGGGACATACTTCACCTTATTGTAATATTTCAATGGAAACTACCTAAAATTTAGATCTGATTTCATATAGTGCTCAGCTAATTAGGTTTCTTACATTTTAAAACTTGGGTACAAAGTTTTTGCATATTTACATGTGTTCCTTCCAGCAATCATTTAGGACTTTGGGGAACATTGGCGTTTGTTTTCGATACAGAATTTTATGGACTTAGGTGGATTTTCTCAATTTGCCAACAAAAAGGAATAAAGGTATTGCATTAAAATGAACTATGCCTAAAAAAGTTGATACATTTTGGTAAGCAAATGGTCAAATGCTCATATTTAATTTAATTTTTGTTAATTTGAAAATGTTGTTTTAAAAACTGCTTAGTGATCCTTTCAAGGGAAAGCTCAGCTCATGTATAAAAAGCCACATAAAAATGACTCCGGAGACCTTGGCTGCACATCCAGCGGTCAGATATTTCAATGCTTCGTTGCTCCCGTTCCTGCTACAGGTACATGTGACAGCGCTGCAGCGATGAGTGGAATTTTAAAGAGGAAGTTTGAAGAAGTTGACGGCTCCTCCCCCTGCTCCTCTGTGCGGGAATCAGATGATGAAGTTTCCAGCAGTGAAAGTGCTGACAGTGGGGACAGTGTCAATCCATCCACTTCTAATCATTTTCCCCGTGAGTATGGAAACTATACCTGAAACTGATTGTCTGCTTCTACAGTGAAAATAATTGTATCATCTTGGTCATTTTTTAACTTTTATTACTAGTTTGTTTTTGTTTTTACAGTTGAGCTAAAAACAAAACATGATTAAGTAAAAATGAAATATTTCTGAGGCATCAGTGGGTTCCTTTATTTAGAATGCTTTTGGGAGTGGATTATTTGATAGTGTTAACCAACTGATTCGATGGAAAAAATGACATTTTATTATTATTACTTTTCAAGGGAAGCACCCTACTCCAACAGTAGATGGGGAAGGACAAGTCCAGGCACAAAAATATGTATCCTCCCATAGCTGAAATGATATTCTAGGAGGAAAAAAAAAGTGGGGAGGGTGTATTTGGCAGTGGAGGTTCTAGGTTCAGTGGGAAAGAGCATAGCCAACCATGCGTTAAGAAATGAAAAAGCAGCAAAACTCTCCCAAGTGTGCGAGTGCAGTTTATACCTCTTTTCCACTCATCTCTTTATTCTCTTATCCTTAAGAATAATATTTAAAGCCCACAAAGAAAAAAAAGGTGTATGCTTTCTCTTTTTCCTTTTTCTGCCACACTGTAACATCACTCCTTCCTGTCAGACAAGGTGAGGTTTGAAGGACTGACAGGAAGATTTTGTAAGGAAATACAATCTACAGGCTAAAGGAAACTGACTATTAATAGCTAAATAATCTTGAATTTATATTTACAACAGGAAGATTTTAATATATCATGATATCATGATAGATAACTAGTCTTAGTTTGTTTATTTTTCAGTTAAGTAGCTGATTTTATTAATATGTGATTCCATAACATAAAATTTATTTTGGAAATGTGACAACGTAGAAAACCAAGAGAATTAACCGTATTTTTAAGAGGTAATAAGGAACTCAGTAAAACTATTGAACATGAAACAAACATACAAAATCGACAGCCTTCCTTTACGCAAGCAAAATTAATAGAAAATATAATGAAAGGGCAACTACACTTATTATAACAGGAAAAAGTCATCAAATATTCAGGGACAAGGTTATTGTGTGATGTAGGTGATCTTCAAATACATTTACATATATCATTATGATGTGAAATGAGCTTGTGTTTTGATTCAAAAGAAGATATATGTTTACCTCTTTGGCCTTAATATTAACAGTGATAATAGCAACAACATCATCATCTGACAGGGTTCTGTGAAGATCAAAGAGCAAGTGAGATAATACATATGAAGAAACTTTATAAAATGTCAAGTACTAAGCACATGTTATATTAAAAATTATTCTCATAGCTAACATTTACTGGGTACATGCTGTGATTCAGTAGTTTTATATACATTATTCCTATTCTTTATAGCAATCCTGGAAGTACCATTACTTTCAGTTTACGAAGGAAATGACTGAGGATCAAAGAGGCTAAACATCTTGCCCAAGATCACACAGGATTAAAGCCTAGACATACATATATACACACACACACACACATATATATATGTCCATATATTTATGTGTTCCACCCCATAGCCTTCACCTTTTCCATTATCTCACTCTGCCCTTTAGTTATGTAATAGTGGACATATCTTTAAAATGTGATTTATTGTGAGTTAGAAAAGAATACTGGAATTAATGAAGAGACAGGTTATGTTTCTGGTAAACGTTTATAAAAGTAAATCTGTTAAAGCTTTCCACATTAATTTATGAATATAAAAGGATAATCTCAATAAAACCCTCAACTGGATTTTCTTAGAAGGTGATGGAATAATAAAAATCCATTTGGAAAAATAAGCTAATGAGAATAAGGGGATATTTTTTAAAAGAAGCCATAAATGTTGAAAAGCCACTCCAGATATCAAATAATAGTAGAAAATTATATAGTTTAACATTTTCGGTACCATGTTAGATCTAGGAAAATAGAGAAAATCTCAACATAGTATAGATAAGAATTATATACACACATAAATGTATATGAATAGGGCATTATAAAACAATGGGAAAAGGAGTATTTAGTAAATGGTTTTGGTATTAGAGTTTGAAAAAGAAAAATTTAGATAACACATCTCACAACATTGCCAAAATACATTTCAGATGGATTAAGTAGACAAATATTTTTAAAAATCAAATCACAGGGGAAGTTTCATATTTGGTAGGATTGTTATCTGAGAGTTGAAGTAACATAAAAAAGTTACATTGCAAAATACTTAACATATTTATATAAAAATATTAAACATAACTGATCCCCAAAAATCCCAAAGTAAAATAATCTATATTGGAAAAAAAATATTTGCAGTTAATATGGTAAAGCATTACTGTCTGAATAGCGAATAAAAAAACACATAAATTTTTATATAAATTAAGATACACACCCCCAAACATAATCTACATGATAGGAAATATGATTAGCAAATATTTTGAAGCATTTAACACCAGTAGTAATAACAACACAGATTAAAATAATACTAATGAGATTTCATTAGTATGAAATCATGGAAATTTCATCTGCTTGAAATTAGTGTTCCTCCCTTCAACAGAAAATACTAATACCTAAGTGCTGGTGAAGGTCGCAGTACAAATTTTGCATACATCCATATTGCTTTTGATGGCAATGAAATTTATAAAAGTGTCTGTTTAGCACTTTGGAAATATAAGAGCCATAATGATATTCATATCTATAAGTCTGTACTTCAGAGAATTTATCTGAAGGGGGAAACATCAAAAACATGGGGAAAAGTGCATAACTGAAAATGTTGGTTCTTGAGGGAAATAACAAAAAATGGGAACTGGGGCAGGGAAGAGGAAGGTAACATGTCTAAGAGTGGGGAAGTGATGCATTAAGTTATGGTAGCTTATACAACTAATTAATTTACATGATAGGTATGAAGACAGGAGATAATGTTAAGAAAAGCAGAACACAAAATTTTACCTACACTGTCAGGGAAAGTCTCTGTATCATAATGTCAAAGAATGGTAAGGTGCTTTAAAAACTGAAAACGATTTGATTTGTTGAAGTATTAGAATGATAGATTAATTTTCATATTTATTAATTTTTATTTCAGTTAATATTTATACATCCCACAACAAAGCAATTTTAAATTTAAACTAAAATGATAACTGTAGTTCTGATTGTGTTTATGTAAGCAAATGGCATGATCAGCTAAATCATGCAATACTTCAGCTAACTAGTAAAGGGTTTTTATGAGTTATGTCCAACAGATGTTATTTTTCCTGTTGAAGAAAATAGAAATATTTTGTGATGCCCAAGAATTTATTGAAATTTTCAACTCATCATTTATTATCAGTGGTAGTTGGCAATGGTTAGTTTATGAAATTGCTGATTTAACTTTGTATTAAATGAAATCTGGTGGAGATTTTTCATGATTTTTAAAGATAATTAAATGATTGATTTAATAAAAAGTGCCTTTTTGATTTAATAGTCTGTTTAGTTCACCATATTCACATTATGGAGAAGGAAAAAAAGAAAAAGTGAGAGAAAAAAACCCCAAAAATCAAAAATTCTCCCTCAAATATTTGCTGTATAAAAGATCTGAACATGTTAACCAATGTAAAAGAAATAGTTTAAAAGATTTCTTGTTTCTATAAATGTATTTCAGATTATTTGCTAGCCCCAAATTGATGCACAAATTTTTATAAAATGTTTCATTTATTTTTTCAGCTAAAGTACAGTGATCTTATCTGCATATGAATCTATGAACATACATTTTTAGAAATATTGTTATTGATGAATCTTATTTCTTTAATATACTTTTCTACTTTCAAGAAAAAAAGTAGTTACCTTAGAGTAAAAAAGGATTTTTGATGACTATCAAATTTGTATAGTATTAGGAAACCAAATTTAGCTTCACACTGAGATCTTTTAAGATACAGTTATTTAAATCTCACTCATCATGAGCTCATCTTTCAAGTTTAAAATGTCAGATGCACTCAGTGCTTTATAAGCATTAACATATTGTATAACATAACATTTTGTTATCATTGCAAATATAGGAATTGATAAAACTGTGTGGTACAAGACAGCAGCTATGGTAGTAGAAAATTCCATCTATTCTAAGCTTTCTATAAGCTATTCAGCTTGCAGCACATCACATTATGATATTAAATCAGTAAAGGCATATGGCTTTTACCTTGGACTTTTGAGTTTTGCTAGGCAACTAGCATACTTACCAGCAATGAACCAAGGTCATATCTTATACTTCCCTTGAGATAGAAGTAGCTGGATTCTGTATTGCTGTGGAACACTTTGTTTCATCAAATCCCTGTGGCTCTATAGCCAATCAGCCTGTACTTGAGTGCTGTCAAAAGGAGAGCTACAGAGAAGCTGGAATGATTTTTTTTTTCTGCCCTCTCAAGGTTCCTGGCGCTTCACACGAGTAATGAGAAGCTGTATGATGAAAGGAACACATTCTTCCTGAAACAGAGTGTTTCTACAGATAAATATATAGTATTTAGGAAGTGGAAATATCAAAAGGCAAAATGATAGGTATTCTAAATTGCACATGAAAACAGGTAGTGTATGTCTTATATAGGGATAAGAGTTTTCTAATTTACACTTTCACATTCTTGGGTTCATTTGATATCCTAAAGTTGTTGTGTGATTAGGAGCCATTATTGTACCCATTTTATAAAAGTAGAAATTAACATTCAGAGATATATTATTAATTTATCCAATGGCTGAGATTTTAATGTTTTCCTCCCTCCTTCCTTCCTTTCTTTCTTACTTCCCTCTCTTTTCTCTCTGAATAAACAGGCATAAATACGCTGCCATGTGCATCCAAGTCACAGTCTTCCTCCAATGTCATTTCCCTCACAATGACTGCACATTTCCTAGTGGGATTAGAGACAAAAAATCAAAAGAAATCAGATCTTGACATGAAACTTTGTAGTGGAAGTATGACCGAAACATATCTGTTCTCTTTACCGAGCAGTTAAAATGCATTGAAAATCTAGATTCAGTTTTGACAAATATAGTGTATCTTATGT